TCTATCGATATGACTACCTCCCTTTCAAACTATTTATTTACATAGCAATTCCTTTACCCAACTATCTATTTAGTTATTTATCTACTTACTGGATAATCTTCTTTATTTATGGACTTACCCATAAATCCATCAGCCCACTTCAGTACTTAATACTGCATATATTATTAACCCACCGGCCATCTAACTACCTGTCCAGCTGTCTGTCATTCTCATTTAATAGACTGTCTACATACCTGTCAATGTTAGATTATGCGCGGCTGTTTAAATATCAAACGTTACCCACGTTTCAATCCGTACAGTTACAACTCAGTGGCTAACTATCCATTTACCTTCTAGCCGATCTGCCTACCCTGTCTAGCCACTCATTTGTCTTTTTCACTGTAATGGTTTGGAAATTTAGTTGCACCATTCTCTGCCTGCTTTACTAGACGCAAACCTGCAAACCTGCTTCCCGAGACGGACAGGATGAGCCATGTTCGGCTACTGTTGCATTTACAACTGTAGTATACTGCATACTCCATATTACACTAGTAGTTCAATGTTATATGGCTAATAAATAAAGGCTATAAAAGCTACCAACGATGCCCTAAGAAATGTAACAAACTTCCTAAATAACGGCTGCTAGATCGGTTAATTGCACCTATAATCAAATATCAAAGACAAAGGTCGTCCAAATCGATTCTTAACGTGGTTATACTTTCTTTCATGTCTTAAATAGTGCCTCAATTTTTGAATAAGCAAGTCATCACGTCTTCTTGTTGACTGTGACTTCTGACGATCAATTCAGGAACATTATCAACGTACTTTCTAACTACGCTGCTAATCATATCACAATCCCAATCATCATCACGAAACAATGTGATCATTAGACATGTCTTCGTTGTGAATGTGCCACGAACGCAAGTCGACGGTTATCTAATAGTTTCCTTTTTTTAGAGTTTTAAGAAGAATACTTGTCCGGCAGAGCGCCGACCCTCATGAACTGTTGTCGATGTCTCTCCAACCTAACCTTAATCCAATAGAACAGAATCCGTAGATTACAGAGTAGCAGAGTAGTCTGCGAAGCCGTAGTTACTGTGCAATGTCACTGACGAGTAACGAGTAGCTTGCTGTTGCGACAACTCGAAGCCCTCCATTCAACAGAAAATTACTTAATTGCCTAATGAGGTAATTTATAGCATAAAAATATTCTAATTAACAAATGTTACCGCATTAATATTTGGAAGAATAGAAATTCCTGGAGTTCAGATTAACGAACAGCCACAGCAAGTGTTGAACAATTCCTGAAGAACAATTTTACTGTCCACTGTTATAAGCACAGTTATGAACTGGTCCACAGGAATCTATTTGTGACTGAATAGAATGGCAACAACGTGATCAGAGAATCGCTGCACGTTTTCTACTACCGCTGGACCACTTAATAACTTACCTTCAGATGCTTCATTTCATATTTCATACGCAAGAGAAACACTCTGACGGCATAACGCACCGATCTACCATATCTTTAATTACCCTGACTTTCTGTATCGAACGTGTGCTTTCAAGGAACTACAAGGAAAATTAGACTACTGTAGCTTACAACGTTTGTAGTAAACTTAGGGTATTCGTCAATCACATCAGATTTTCATTTGCAGGCACTCAGAACCTTGGCCATTTGTTTAATCAATAATACTTACAGCGAGGCGAAGAAACAACACGAATATTCATCAAGCCAAAGTCATTTAATAAAATTAATTTTAACAATTTCGAAAGATGTACATAGAGAAATTAGAAAAACAAATTTCACTCACCTACGAGGAACGTCTATTTCTCTGACGGATTTCGGCTGCTGTGACCAAAAGAGGATCCCATTTTCTAGAGCTAAAATTAAGAGGCTTAAAAATCAACGGAATATTCGTCTAATTTAACCAACTGTAAAAGAAAATGCTCTTCACAAATCTAACGTCAGTAAATATGTCGTGGAACGGGAGAGACGGCCAAAATAACAGCTCGTATATAAATGCGGTTAGTCCTTATTATTTGCAGCGATAGCAATGAAGACAATCACGATTACGAAATGGTGAACTAATAAAGTTTTGACAGCAAACCTTCCAGAAGAATGCCTAAACACATACCAATGGACGAATTGAGCCAATTATTCCATATAAGCCCTGACAAAAGAATGGTGAACGATTACGTGAGGCCGTCTCGATACCCTCTGAATATGGGAAGATAGTGATAACTTGAAATGGGAAATCCAGAGGATGATGAAAAAGAGAAATCAACAACATTCATGCTGCGTGGATGGCCTATACCAGAAAAGTTGCCCAGAATACTCCAGCAATGTAGCAACCTCCATAGAACAGATATTTACTTATTAACTGCATAATCCACTCCAGTCAAGAATGTGCAAAATAGATTTCATAAAAAAGTACTCTTCTAATTCAAAGATTTTATCGGAAGGCAAAAAATCAAAACGGACAGAGTTTATTGTAAAGGACGCATCAGTTAAGAACTGGATATCGCTTATCAGAGCAAAAGCAATTCTGAAGATATTAATGCGAAGAATATCTAATCGTCTGCTGTCATTCCACTAGGTAAAAATTTGAGGAAAGCGAACCAAAGAATTTGATTTTTGATACCATTAATTTTTTTACCGTTAAAGAGATAATGAATTTTCCAACAGAAGAAATCAGTCACAGAATTTTCTGCCTATTTGTAGGCAGGAAGACAAGGCTCATTAGGCTTCTTGTAAAACAGAGGCTCTGAATCTGCTAAAACAGCAGTTCGCATCTGAATGCGGCTGGCTTGACCTAGTGTAGCCAAATTTACAAGCTATTAAACGAATTCAGATTCTATATCGTTGCGGATGTCGAAATCTGGCGCATAATTTTTAAAGAACCTTGTATCCATGGATTCTTTAGCTTTTACGTTTTTTGTGAAATGTAAACTTATTACACGAAAGGAAATTATCCATAACCGAACCTTACTCTTTATTCAGCAGTGCTCGTTCCTACCCTGGATTTATCTTACCCTGAAATAAAGAATAGCAAAAATGTAGTAAAATCCAGTTAACCATAAACATGGTCTCATTTTAACTTAGCGCCTTTAGCTCATTAACTTTGGAAGACATAATTATGAAAATTCTGTCAACGGTGCCAGTTTCAGTCGCACAATGATTGACAAATACTAAACATTATTCTTGTCAAGAGAGTCATGCATGACTTAAAGGTTGACGTGAAATTTGATTGTTGTAGCGTCAGAATAAAGGATTATACCTTACTCAGTTACGAATTACGCTCATCTACTACAAAGCTATCAAGATTATCACAATACAATAACGATATCGAAAACTGTATAAAGCCCAAAAGCTTCGGTAACAGCAAAAGAATAAACGTCAATCACTACTAAAACTTATAAACTTCGCACTTCTTTGGCTCTACTTGTAGTACTGACGGCTAAGTGAAAAACCAATACATTTTATCAGTCATTACCACAAAAAGTAAAAAATATTTATTTTACATCTGGGAGAATTTCGCTGTTGCGAAGCCTGATTTGCTGCTGCGTCTTCTGGAGATTCCGACTGCTTAACTGTTTCTCCTGTCGACGAATCATTATTCGTCATACCTGTATGAAGCCAATCGTTGATCTCTGATATAAACTGCTCATAAACGAGCGATGTGGACTTCCTAAGAATGAAAAAAATGGTGAAAAATTGTGTAAAAAAGAACCAGTAAGCGCGTTTCAAACGGTTTCTGTTTGTAACGAATCAGTGCGAGTTTGTCATACAGAAATAATCACTATTTCTTTAGAAATAAGGCAAGATAAAATACTGTAATCTATCTATCACAGTTTAAACAAGGAACATATTAACAATTACAAATTCTTAGTTATCAATTTCGGAAACATAATGCATCAACGTACAACTTTTCGAACGATAAGTAATGCGTTCAGCCTTCATGACTTTCCAGTCGCGGTAACGAAACGCGCCGACTGCTTAAAAATATTTTAATCTGTTTTAGGTTTTGATTTCCTAACCATGAGTCCAAAAAACAGTCCGTTGATGATTTACAGACAACTGCCACGCAATTTACATTCTTGAAGGAGACTTCGCATGCAAATTTAATTAATAAAAATGCCAACGTTTCGAGTTATACCTGAATTTAGATAGCAATAAAAACATAAGACATTGTAAATTCGTCGTCGCGTTGAAAACGGTTTAACGTGAGTTTAGAAACGTTGGCATTCTTACTAATAACATTTTTATGCGGAGAAATGCCATCCAAGAACTAAATTCGCATGATCACAGTACCGCATAAAAGACGTGTTCCATCTTCAAAGTTGCTAATAGCTGTCTATATAATTAATATGAGTTCGACAGAACATGTAGCGAAATAGTTTTATGAAGAAGCATGCGTTTATACTCGAAATAATTACATAAACACCAACATCCCCATGGTTATATTATGCAAGTATTTTACTGTATAGCGGAAAATAAGTATGAAAATAGCATAAAACGGTTCTTTTAGCAAAGCAAAAGATAGACAATTACGAGATTTTGTATTGGCCAATCTTTTTCCTGACCACTTTGGCGTTGTGCACAAATAACAATACATCATGCAATTTGTCAGAAATAATTACCAACGAACGAATTAAATACTTTAAGCTTAAAATAAAAACATTTTTCATTTGTTCATTAAACTGTTTTCTGCTAATATGCAGATATAAATTTTTCCGTTATTTAAGTTGCATGATATCATGTGGAATGCAGTTATGTGCGTAACTAAATTAAGTATAAGGACATAAAAAGGGACACATACCCTGCTGAGACTGACAAGACGACTAGGCCTGCACGCTTCAGTGACCTTCGAAGCAATGGTAGCGGTGGCTTCGGACTCCGTTAGGGTGTCCCACAAAGTTGGTCAGGTAAGAGGCAAAAGAAAGACTAAGGGCGATCAATCATCTGTCTATTACTGCGAATTAGAATAAAAACGATTCTACACCGGATCGGTTTAAGCCCGGATTACCAAAGGCCAGCGCAGGTCGTTGCGCAACTGAGACAATCTGTGAATAGCGGGCGAACAGAACATGTTTCAGACTGAAAGACTGAAACAAGAATATTATGGAATTTTCCATTACGAACCGAGAAAGAAACATCGTTTGCAGAAAAAGAAAAAGGCAAGCATAAATCACTGACATATTATGCCCGGTTGACGACAAGGTTCTTGTTAAGGAGAGGGAAAAAATACTGAATTACAAAAAAATAGAATATGGAAGTAAAAAAGATCTTGAGAGTAAAATCGGAATTAATTCTTGTGGTGAACGATACTATCGAAGCAGTGCAAGAAGGTAATGCGTACTAAAGTCAATAAATCAAGCGATCAAGGCGGATGACCTATAGTTGGAGACGCTACTAGGAACATTCAGGATTTTTAGAGGGGTCTTGCACCTCTCTAACCCGTAGCAGAGGGTTCTAAGTGAAGTGGTATACATGCCAATCGTGTTATACTTCATTCAAAATAAAGAAAAATTACGTATACATATTGGAAGTACACTGACTAGCTAGTAAGACTCCCAAATACAGAGGAAACCGTTTGAAGAGCGCTTACTGAGTGACATTATGTTATGCCTACTCAGTGACATTCAACGACTGTAACGAAGGGAGAGCAGGCAGTACGGTGTTGCACAGCCTCTTGCACAACGGACAGAGGTACTCGTTTAATTCGATGTTGAACAGGTTGCTCAGACGATGGCGCCAGTGGTTGCGCTGTTCCTTGAGGATTAGGTTGTCGTAGAACCTACACGAAGAACAAGATATTAGACGTGTTAGCAGAAGTTCGGAAACTAAAATAGGTCAAGTTACTGCTGCCAGCAGTCCGCATGCATGGTGTGGCCACAGGAGCTCGTATGGACTCCGAAGTAGAGACTGGCTGGATAGTACAACGGGTCGAATTCGTCAGGATGAGTCAACGGTCGGTGAGGTTCTTTAGTGAACAACGAAGAGCTAAAAAAGTGGAACAAAACGACAATCGGTCAGAAAATCTTCAGTCTACGGCGGATTAACGCCATTTGCTCACTTCTGAACGAACGCCGCATAAACAATGGCCCGCGAATCGAACGTAACTTGCTGCTCGTCTTGACAAAGGACACACATTAATACAGGGGCGTTTAAACGCGATGTCGAAGTGCGGTTCGGCCCAACGCAGACGGGAAAAATGCGCGAAGAAGGCATGTTTCTGAAACGCAAATGAAAGCTACATTTTTTGAAGTTAAATGCTTGGTGTCAACCGGTGCTATGAAATAACACGTGTTTCAATCAAAGACACCAGACCCAAATTGGTATAGAAAAACCGATAGCCAGCAGAAATTACCAAGCCGAAATAGAAAGCCTTCAGAGATTAGAAACGTCTTGAAGATCGTAAGGATTACTTTCAGAAGTGTTAAACGACATTTGAAAGGAGATGCACATCGGATTATAATTTAACGTTACTGAAGACCGTACTTTTTGAGGCCTTAGCAGTGATACAGATCGAAACATCGATAGTGGCAAATCAGTACTTTTGTTGGATTTTCAAGTTTTCACTACAATAATTTTTAAGCTATTCTCTCTCAGTGATCACTGCTCTCAAAAATTACTACACTTACTCCTGTTCATGGTGATCGTCATCGCTGTGCAGCGTATGCTTACATTTGTCAAGCATGGACTTGTTTTGCTAAAACACATAAATATGATAATGTCTGAAAGTTCTATAGAGCCATGTACCTCAATGAACAGATTTTGCATTTTTTCGATCTGCTCGACCGCCTTCTGTCGCTGTTTCAAAGCGATTTCGTGACGTCTCTTTTTACGGTTCTGTTCCTCGGTTGACGGTGCTACGTCGCTCTGCGCAGTTTGTCGCTCGATCGTGTCCGTCGAAACGGTGTGTAACCGAAGGACATACATAAATTTCTAAACAATTAAATGCATAATAACAATCATGCAAGCGTTTAGACGACAAAAGTACCGTGATCGTCCACTGAAGCAGGTCCTCCGTGTGACCAACATTCGGTTTCCCAACGAGACTGATCATCTGCGAGTAGATGTCACCGTCATTACTGAACTTGTGCTGCTTGACTCGTGACGTGAAACAAAACCTGGAAAAAGCGAAGGTGACTCAACGTGCGAACAAGCGAAGCCACACGGAAAACGTGAAGTAGACGATTCGCTCACTCTTCGTGCTCAGGGCCTATGTCATTGGTAACCGTTGCCTGTGATGAACGCCTCTCGAGACACGCCTGCTCCTCATTCAACGCCATGCAGACCAGAAACAGTGCTCGCTGCAACTGATTCTCGGATGACAGACGTGACCTGCGCATCGTTC